CACCATTTTTATTCTTTGGAAGAGTTATAATTAAAGCAGGACATAAATGTTGGTTTTACAGGTTAGACTCAAGCAAAAAATACACATCACTGAAAACCCGGGTTTAGGTCCTTACCTTCATCATATAATAATTGAGAATTTGGAGACAGATTCATTGATCTCTTTTTGCCTTAGTTTCCTCAATTGATTGATTGATTGCAGTGCTGGAGATTGGAACTAAGGCCTCATGTAAGCCAGGCAAGTGTTCTAGCACTGAGTTATATCCTTGGCCCCTATTTGTTTTATTTTTGAGAGAAAAGTTTTATTTTGACTAACTCCTCCTCCTATAAATGGGAATAACAATGATCAAAGCCAAGATGACTATGGAGTGGGTTGAACAATGCATTGCTTGTACTCGTCTGCTCAGCTGCCAGAACAAATGATGTAACAGAAAGACCAGGTGGCTTAAACAACAGAAATGTATTTTCTCCCAGTTGCAGAGACTGGAGGTCCAAGATCTAGGTGCCAGCCAGATGGGTGTCTGGTGGGGGCTCTCCTGCTGAGCTGCAAATGCCCCGAGAGCCTGAGCTCTCTGGTTTCTCTTTTTATAAAGAGATATTAGAGCAGCATCTCGCCCTTAGGACCTCATTTAACCTTACTTCCTTAGAGGCTCCATCTCCAAATATCGACACTCCAGGGTTCAGGGTTTCAACATATGAATTCCGGGAAATCATATTCAGTCCCTAACAGCACATGTGAGACAGTTAGCTGAGTACCAGCAGTGCATAATCAATAAATGCTAGGCCACTTCTTGTGTATTATAAGATTCATGTGTAGAATTCTCAAGCACAGAATGTAACACCAGAATCAGTAAAAACTAGGGAAAACGGAGACAAGGTATGGCTTCTGCCTGGCAAAAGAAGGGCCAGGAGCAGATGCCCCTCCAGGTGAGTCTCAGAGCCCTGAGACACATCTGTATTGGAGAACCAGCCCAGTCCCTGGACCTTTCTGATTCTGTCCCACAGATACTCGTAGGTCCCATCCTGGTGCTGTCACAGACTGGACAGAAACACCACAAGTTGAAGCAAGGATGCAAATAATTAATGGTGCCAAAAGTGGGTGACAGATCAGAGTCAAGCAAAGAATTACAAAAGAAATGAGTGAGGAGAGAAAGAAGGAGAAGGCAGGGAAAGGGATAGGCACTGAGAGAGACCCAAAGCAGACACAGGGGACAGGCTGCCTGTTGACCCTCAGGCTGTGTATCTCTCTTGGTGTCCCCCATTGTTCTTTGGCTTAGTCTCAACTTTACAGTCTCAGACACTTGATTTTGTCTTCTGGTTGAGAATAGGTCAGCTTTGGAAAGTAACTCCACATAAACAAGTTTATGAAAATGAAAAGAATTAACCAGCTAATCAAATTTGTGTATATATATTTTTTAATGGTGACTGTATTCAGACTCTGCTCTCTTGGGGCCCATCATTGGTGAACTTGAGAAATAATTGTCAGCAATTACAGGATCTCTCCCATTAGGCAGAGCACTAGACCAAAAATGGTCCAGACACATTTTTCACAAGAAAGGGACCCATTACAGAAAAGTCCTCACTTGTTCCCAGCATACCCAGGATGCTCATTCAGATACCACTTAGTCTCTCAGACAAAAGAATTGAATCTTACAAAATTAATTCCATTGAAAGTCTGCTTCAGTTTGCTAGGGACAGGACCAGATATGCATTTATAAAAGTCAGACTCCTACATAGAGGTTTTTAAGGGGAATGGAAGGAATCCACATATATTTGCATAAATACACAACGTCTTAAACGCCGTGTGGAGTATTTGAAATATTCTATGATGTTTATCCTCACGATAACATTTTACAGTGCCCTAATGTTCAGGTGAGGAAACAAAACTCAGAGACACTATTGGAGACCTAAGTAAGACCCATACTTTGGCTATACTTCAGAAGCAGGTTTAGCTATGAAACATAATTATTGAAGACTTCTGAACACAAAGATAAACATATTCAAAACCCACTGCCAACGTGGAAGTTGAGTGATTAGAAAATCAATAGATGAAAGAGAATTATTTAAATTCTAACAAATACTGATAATCAACTAGAATATTTAGTGTAGTCTTGAAGTTCTCATATTTGAATTTTGAGATGGAACAAAAAATCTCAGCGATTTGTCATAGGGCAAAGAAAAATTAGGATTTAAAGTTTGTTAATAATGTGGGCTGCAAGTCAGGCCCACTAAAGCTAAGAGGGCCTGGCTGAATCAAAATATATGTCTTCTAATTAAAAGCAAATGCAAGCCTTTGACAAACATGATTAGTACAAGTTACGTTCAATGAAAGGAAAGACGATCTGAGATCGGGTGATAGCAAACATCTGGATTTAGGGAAACGGACAACTGGCTGGATTGAATTGCCCGTGTTTGGACAGCTGGATTATATCATATTTAGGGCAATGTCTTCTCACCCCCTTGCCCCTGCTTCCCACCAAACAAAAATAAGTTCCTCCTCCAACGCTGCCCCAGGTCACACTTCCAGCCTCCACTGGTGCACAGATAGTTGGGGCTGGAGGCTGTCACTTCATCAAGCCATTGACCTGCAGGCTGGGGAGACTGGGGGTCAAGCAGGAAGCTGAAAGACTTCCAATCCTAATTTCAGTATTTGTGAGAGTTTGGCAATGACTTGCTCTCTTGGCTTCTGAAAGGGCAGAGTCAGGTCATCTTGCTGCTGTTCTAGTTCTCTCCGCTTTCTGCTCAGAAAAGGAAGCAAGATCATCTGATGTGAAGGTATTTTTTAATTTTCAACTATTTAAGGTCCCTGTTTAAAGTGGCATTTGGAAATGTCCCTATTTTCCCTTACACTTTACACTTGATCAGTGACTATTTGTTGAGCTTCTTGCAAGGTACACAAGTAGGAAGGAGAGAAACGGTGTTATCCCTGTTTGTCTACAAGAATTTTCATTGTAGTATTGTTCATTATAATGAGAAAATGGAAATAGCTAAAATATCTAACAGTAAGTGGTTAAATAATTCATGGAACATCCAGAGCTTGGATGTTGGAGCTATTAAGAATTGCTTTTAGAGAAACATGTAATTACATAAATGTTCTTAAATGACATTTAAGTGCATTATAAAATTATGGTGACCTAAATGGAAAGAAGGAATGTTCTAGGGAGAAATAGAACAGTGCTATGGTTGAATGTGTCTACAAGGAATTTTGTGTTAAATTTCAATTCTCATTGTGAACCATTTATTGAGAATTAATGAATTAATGAATTTCCAACGGGAAATTCATTCCAACTATGGTGGTTAGAGGTGGGGTCTTTGGGAGAAGAACCAGATTAATATCATCAGAGTGGAGGCCCCAGGATTGAATACTAGTGGATTTATAAGAACACACATCAGAAAAGACACATGCACACATGTATAATCCCTGTCTCTTGTTATATAGTGTACCTTTTTCCCCACATAAAAATAGCATACTGCGGTGATGCAACCACATTAATGTTTATAGCAGCTCAATTCACAATAGCTAAGCTATGGAACCAACCTAGGTGTCCTTCAATAGATGAATGGATAAAGAAAAGGTATATAATATTCAATGGAATATTATTCAGCTTCAAAGAAGAATGAAATGAAATTATGGCATTTGCCAGTAAGTGGATGGAGCTGGAGAATATTATGCTAAGCAAAATAAGCCAATCCCCCAAAGCAAAAGGCTGAATGTTTTCTCTAATATGCAGATGCTGATTCACAATAAGGGCAGTGGGGGGGGGCACTAGAGAAAAATAGAGTTACCTTAGATTAGGAAGACGGAAGTGAAGGGAGGGGAGGGGAGGGTATGTGGGGATAGGAAGGAGTAGAATGAAACAGATTTTATTACTTTATGTATACATATGACTGCATGACCAATGTGACTGTACAACATGTACACTCAGAAAAATGTGAAATCATATCCCATCTATATATATCAAAAGTGCATAAATGCATTCTATTGTCATGTATAACTAATTAAAACAAATTTTAAAATGAAAAATTTTTAAAAAAGAAATGAACAGAGGATAGAGAAGGGGAGCAGGATGAGAGTGGTTGTAGCACTTTCTCTAAAATATAAGATGCTGTCTCATCCCCCCCCCAAAAAAATTGGAGGTTATCATCAGTTGTGGGCTCTTCAGCCTCCAGAACTGTAAATTAAATAAACCTCTTTTCTTTATAAAGTCTCCCAGCTTCAGATATTTCATTGTAGTAATGAAAAATGGACTAATACAAAGAGAAAGAGGAGAGATTGAGAAAGATAGGCAGAAGAATTTATATGTGATTAAATAGTTCAGTGGGAAGTGCTGTCAGCTCCGTGGTGAAATTGGTAGAAGGAAAGTGGATTTATAAAGACTGGAAGCATGGACCCCGGTAGGAAGTTGTTGCAGTATTAGAGGGCTGAGGTAGCAAGGATCTAGGCTATAACAGTGGAGATGCAATAATAGTGATGAAAGTGGTGATGTGATACAAAAATGGTGCTGGGCCTGACAGAGGTGATGACCGAGGGGATGGCCATGATCATAGTGGTGAGGGTGGAGAAGGTGATGGGTGTTAGTGGGAGACAAGAGGACCAAATGGCTTCTAGGTTTGCTTAAAATAAATTTGGCGGGGGTGGGGGGTGCTACTGGGGATTGAACCCAGGGCCTTCTACATGTGAGACAAGCCCTCTACCAACTGAGCTACATCCCCAGCCCTGGACCACATACATTCTGAGAGGCACCTACTCACCCCTCCCAGACATATTTAGTTAGCTTCGCTCAATGATCCTGAATAAATGGGCAGACGTTAGCCATATTGGTATCTCCCTCAAGTTGGATGTAGTCATATGCTTCCTCTAGTGTTTACTTCTTTAAATTACTTTTTTTTTTCCAGTACTGGGGGTTGAACCCAGGGGCGCTTTACCACTGAGCTACATCTCCAAACCTCTTTTATTTTTTATTTTGAGACAGGGTCTTATGAAGTTGCCCAGACTGGCCAGAAACTTGCAATCCTCCTGCCTTAGCCTGCTGAGTTGCTAAGATTACAGGTGTGTGTCACTATACATTTTGAATTCAAGAAATATTATTTTTATTTTATTTTTTTTTAATTTATTTTTTAGTTTTTTAGGTGGACACAATATCTTTATTTTATTTTTATGTGGTGCTGAGAATCAAACCCAGTGCCTCACACATGCTAGGCGACCACACTACCACTTGAGCCACATCCTCAGCCCAAGAAATATTATTTTTATTTTTTTTTTTTATTTTTTTATTGGTTGTTCAAAACATTACAAAGCTTTTGACATATCATGTTTCATACATTAGATTCAAGTGGGTTATAAAATCCCATTTTTACCCCAAATACAGATTGCAGAATCACATCTGTTACATATCCACATTTTTACATAATGCCCTATTAGTAACTGTTGTATTCTGCTCCCTTTCCTATCCTCTACTATCCCCCCTCCCCTCCCCTCCCATCTTGTCTCTCTACCCCATCTACTGTATTTCATTTCTCTCCTTGTTTATTTACCCATTCCCCTCGAAACCTCTTATGTGTGATTTTGTATAACAATGAGCGTCTCCCTCCATTACCATGCAATTTCCCTTTTTTCTCCCTTTCCCTCCCACCTAGTGTATCTGTTTAATGTTGATCTTTCCTTCCTGCTCTTCCTCCCTGCTCTGATCTTGGTTGTTCTCATTATATCAAAGAAGACATTTGGTAAGAAATATTATTTTTAAAGGAGATTTTTTACTTAGTGGGAAATTTATGTCTAAAAAACTCAATTATTATTATAATTGAAAAATGGCGTAGCTCACTGGGTTGAGGCTTAGTGGTAGAGTGCTTGCCTCACATGTATGAGTCACTGGGTTCAATCCTCAGGACTACATGAAAATAAATAAATAAAATAAAGGTATTGTGTTCATCTACAACTAAAAATATTTTTTAAGTGGTGTATCATCTGGCATAAGTTATAAACACTGATAAAATTAAAAACTGTAAAAACAAAACTTGGTTACTAAATTCTCATGAAGGAACACTCTGAATCTGAGATGTGCTCTTTCTTTGTTAGAAGGAAAAACTGAGAGTATTAGATCAATGCTAACGACACAATAGGACCAAATGAAACCTTCCCCTGTGTGAAATCAATGACTAGAAGAGAACCACAAAGGGAAAGGCTTCTCCCTGTGTGATACAATGTCATTAAAGGGCACATCCGCATGTCACCTAAAATCACCTAAGTCCTTTCCCAGGGTTTAGAAACACTGTGCTAGGGAAAGATAGCACAAGTTTGATATGCTTCCTGTAGTGTTTACTTCTTTAAATTACTTTTAAGTGCTAAGGTTTCCCCCATCTTAGGAACCATGGACCCCTGGTGGAAGAGACAGCACTGGAGAGACAGAGGGACGTGGGGGGTAAAGATGGATGGTAGGGTCTCCAGAAGGGGTACAGCCACAGGGGCTGGGGTTGGTGGGTTGGTAAACATACTTCTGTTCAGAATTTTGAAAAATTAACAAGATGTAAGCCATAAATCATCACATAAGTACATCAAGGAACTGAAAGGAATCAAGCTTTGTAAGATGAACAAAAGCCAATGCAGGCAGGTCACACAGGGCCATCTCAGAAGACACGGCGTGGTGGGGTGAAGTCACTGTGTAGACATAAACCTGCCATATTATTTTTTTCTGTTTGGGAAAAAGAAATAGAAAAATCAAAACCAAGAACAGAACCTTGAGCTGTACCTCTCAATTTATGTGCTTGATTTCTTTTACTTCCAATTTTCCGCCTCTGGGAAGTTAACGGACACACCAGGTGTTTACACAAACAGTCTCAGTTTTGCCCCCACAAGAGCCCAGTTAGGTAATGGTATGTACTGTTAGGGAGAGCTGAGGCTCATGGAGGTAAAGGAAGCTTACAGTTAGCAAGTGGCTAATGTAAGATCCATCTGTGACACACAAGTCCAGGATTTTGCTACTATCTCTCCTACTCCCAGGTAAAGTAACATAATGGTCAGTGATTAAAAAACAAAATTCTATATTTTTTCTTCTTTATGATCATAAGGACTCCTATTCTTTGTTCAGCATTACCATTAGGTTAAAAAAGTCACCCTGGGCCAGTTATGGTTATGCTGTACTCAAGGATTAAGCCTCTCTCAACCCTGGTCAGCCCACAGAACTCTTAGATAGGACTGAGGATACAGTTCAGTTGCTAGAGTGCTTGCCTCACATGCACAAGGCTCTGGGTTCAATCTCCAGCAACACACACACACACACACACACACACCTCAAGATAAATAGGCAGAAAGTAAATGCCCAGTGACACATTTAGGTGATATCCAGAAAAACCTAAAGAGTCATTCAATTTTTTAAATTTAAACTGGGAATTGAACCCAAGGCTTTGTGCATGTCAGGCAAGAGCTCTACCAATGAACTATGTCCCAGCCCAAGTCATTTGATTCTTAACAGTGGTGTTTCCACAATCTACATATACTTTTCCTTCCAAGGGGTAGTTATTCAGGAGCTGGGAAAAGTCTTTTGGCTTGATGAATAGATATTAGCATCTTCAAACATCATTTATCAAGTGCCCACCCAAGCGTGGAACACTGGTGTCGCTTGGCATGCACGCAAATTAATTGGCGGCTTAAATGTTATTAACAATAACTTAGGAGCACCTCAAAAGAAGATTTCAAGTAAATGCCTACAGTTCGTTTGAAGGGAAGTCTTGTGGTTTATAATCAGCAAGGAGGTCCTGAGCTGCTTCCTGTGTTCTAGGATAATTTTTCTTTTCCCCCAGGCACTACTTAAAATACCACAAAGCACATGTGAAGTCAGAATGTTCTGCCTTCTGTTCATCCACATGCCTCTACTAGTAGACTTTGCTTCTTGCCTGATGGCTCCATACAGCTGAGAGCTGAGTCAGCAACATTGCAGTTGGTCAGTGAGATCATATGTAAGGGCTGGCAGATATGTAAGAGTGTGCAGATGTGACTTCATAGGGTCCACACTTCCCCAGTTTTACTGGACAAGTAAGTAGTCACAGGTGACTGATTATTCAGGGTGGTATGTAAATGGGAACCAGGAGGAAAGATTGCTAATTCCACTATTGTTGACTCACCGGATCTTGTGAGATGTATTGCATTTTACCACGGTGCGGGGAGAAAATCAGTTAGAGTTCCTCCATTTTCAGAACAAACCATCAAAACCCAAATTTATGATCTTGTTCTCTGGAGCTGGAACATTGTGGTAGGAAAGTCTCTAAGCTGTTTCTCAGTGTGAACTGCCAGAGTGAAGTGGAAATGATTAAGAGACTTGCAGCTTATCAGATCTACAATAAACTACAGAAATGTCAGTCCCCCGCCATTCACCATACATGTCATAGCCTATTTCACTGAAGAGCTGGAAGATGCAGGAGGAAGAAAGTTGGAACCTGGCTCCTCACTGCACACTGGACTCAGCCTGACCCAGTCACCTTAGCTTTATTGCCTCTACCGATTTGTCTGTAGTTTAAAAATGAGCCTTGTGAACACAGACTCTTTTGTCAATTGATGCCTCCTGCTGTCCAGATGAGATTTGGAAATTTAAAAACATGGGTTCCTGGACAGCAAGCCCCTGGCTGCCTGGAGCATCTGTTCCCTTGTTAAACACCAAGATCCAGTTCTACCTGGTGTCAAGTACACTTCATAGCCAAAGAAGAAAAGATATGTGTTAGAATTAAGTTTGGTTAAGAGACATCAAAAACTCAAGAGAAAATTGCCTTAAAGAAGTTTACAGTTTATCTCTCTTTCAGATAATCTAGATAGTTCCTGTGCAGAATTAACAAACAGATCCTGAGACTGCAGTCCTGAGAAAGGATTGTTTACAAGATCAGCCATTAGTATACATCTGGGACCTTCACTCTTGGAATGTCCTCGGTCAACAATCAGCTGACATGAGAGAACAACTAGAGTTTTTGCCACAAACTGCAAGAAAATAGTGCAGGATTATTTTTTAAATTGAAGCAAGGTTCTTACACCACTTAGCACTGTGAACTAAACTGTCTGCTTTTCTTGTAGGAATCTGGCCTTTTGGCACGTGCTAAGCAGAGGGTGCCTCATGTGACCAGCTCCCACCGGGATTCTGGTGCAGAAACATCACACACATGTTGCCGCATTTTTCATCTCTAGGGGCAGAGTGAGCTCTTCACAGAAGACAGAATAAGGAAACCTGTATGTGGATTCTTCCTGACTTTCCCTGTGTCTTTTCCCCTTATGATTTAGATGTCTCTCCTTACTCTCTTGCTGTAATAAATCTTAGCCATGAGCCCAAGCATATGCTGAGTCCTGTGAGTCCTTCTAGAAAAATTCTCGGAATGTGCAAGTGGTCTTGAGGAGACTAAACCAGTCCTGGGCCAGTGTGACTGGGGCTCCACAAGGATCAGAGACCCAGGCTGCTGCTACCTTTGGGTGTGCTCTCTTCAAATGCCTCTGGATCTTATGGGTCAGGTTGACTCTTCCTCACATCCCTGTGTACATTCTAATCAGCAGGAAGGAGGAAAGGGACAAGAGAAGAGCAGCCCTCTTCCCCCACCCCTAGAGTAGTCCTCCATTATCAGCCGTGGACATGCCCTGAGACCCCAAGTGGTTGCCTGAAATGAAGTCTCAGATAAACTGAATTCTTTAAATACTGTGGTTTTTCCTATATGCACATGCTAGTGACAAGATTTAATTCATAAATAAGATTAACATTACTGACTAATAATAAAATAGAACAATTATTAATAGAATAAAATAGACCATTACTAAATAGGTAAGGATTGCCTGAACATAGTCACAGTGAAGCTACAACAGTCAATCAGATAACCAAGATGGCTACTAAGTAGGCTGTACAGTGAATGTGCTGGCCAAAGAGATGATTCCTGTCCAAGGTAGGATGGAACAGGGCAGTGTGGGATTTCATCATGTTACTCAGAATGGAACACATTTAAAACTGATGGTATATTTATTTCTGGAATTTTCTACTTATAATTCTCAGACCAAAATTGACTGTGGATAAAGGGGGACTACTGCACTTATTAAAATTCTCAGTTGTCATACAAATCAACTATGTCCCATTGGTCAGCATTTGATCAGAGAGCCACACCCAGCTGCAAGGCATGCTGGGGAATGTCTTTCTCTGGACAATCTTGTGTCCAGTCAACAGCCTGGTGTTCCCTATTAACGAAGGAGAAAATTAATATGGGGGAACAACTAACTCGGCCACCTAAGGTAGGAAAATAGCAGGTATGATTTTTAAAATTGAATCAAATTAAGGATCTTTATACAACTAAGCAAAATTAAGCAGATTAAAGTATTACATCAATTTTGGGCTGTCTCTTAAACAGTGAAAAAGAGGCAGACTTCTTGCCTATAAAAAGATTTATTCTAGGACCAGTGACCAGTTGCTAAATCATTCACAAGCTGTTAGATGATTTACATATGGATGGAATAAAGAATTTCCTTGACATTGAATCCCTACCACTTTCCCCTCTGCCTCACCTTGTTTCCTAAATAGTTCTAAAAATAAAGTATTTTGATGGGAAATCTTCAGGCCAAATGGTAAAATCAAGCCTGCAACACCTGGTTCCCTACACATTTCACAAAACTCATACTCATAGGATTGTACCAGGCCAACATATTGTAACTCTTGTCCTCAAGGAGTTTCCAACTTAGCTATGACAATGTTGAATACTGAGGTCTATTTTTATGAAAATATACTCCTACCACTCCACCACATATGCATGGATTGTTAATCTGGAGGTGTGTAGACAGGCTTCATGGAGTTTTCTGGACATGCCTGAAATGGTGTGCAAAATTATGTTCAAACATGCATTTTTTTTTTCTATAGACTGTCTGTTCATCAAAGGAATCTATAACTCCCCACCCCAATGATTATGAAAGTTTGCATTTACTGTTTAGCTTCTAATTGACTAAAGTTGATAGATAGGGTGGGATCCATTCTTGCTGACTTTCCAGTATCCTGGAGATGGGTGGTGAGAGGAAATTTACCAGCCAGGCAGCCAGGGCTGATGGGTGCCCTGGACAAGAAGCAGAGCAACCTACCTAGCAGGCCCTACAGGGTTAAAACTCACAAGCTGAGCCTTAGAGTAGTTCTACCAACCAACACCTCTTCTCACAGGTCGCTCCTAAATGACATGTCTGCCTTGTATTTAAGACAGTTCATAGTCTCCCAAATCAGCCAATCAAGAAATCTTCATTTCCCCCATGACCTCATTGCTTCTTTGCTCCGGCCTCCTGCAGTGTTTGCTGTCCTAAGTGTGACTTCTGCTGTGTCCCAAGCTCAAACAGTAGTCCATCACGTCTATTTGGGTGTTTTTCCTTAGCCAAGGTCAAGGAGATCCTAGTAATAATAAAATCTGGAGATGAAATTCATCACTTTTGTTTTTGCATATTTGCTTCATTTGATGTGAAGTCTGCAGGGCACATGTCATGGTGATCTGAGCACTGCTGCCCAGTACTGCTGAGAAAGCAGATTGACTCCTGTGAAGTTGGCAGTCCAGATGCAAGAGTGATTCCAGAACCCTCCCCTTGGAAGTAAGGTATGAGCAGGGAGTGTTCTGAGGTCTAGAGGCTGCAGAAGGCTTTTAACAGCAGGGACAGCCAGGATCACACTGTTTAGGGTTAAACCTCAAAATGCTAGAATAGGCTTTTGTCAAGGGATCTTGATGTAGCAACACACTGTGATTTATTCTTTTTATATTTCTGGAACAGGACTCCTCTGACAACTTAGATAATCTGGACGAGTGCTCTTGAGTCACAGAAATTATATGAATTATAGAATCATTTAAGAGACCAAAAACTACAGTGACTCATTTAACAGAAGTTGCTCTCTCACTAACTGCCCAGAAGGAAGTGGGTTGTCCAAACTCTCCTCCACTACATTATCCAGAGACCCAGTTTCTCTGTCATATCTGTGGAGACCTCTGACAGCATGACCACATTCCAGCCTTCAGGAAGAAAGTGGAACACATTCCCTTTAAGGGAATGCTATCCAAGTAAGACAGAAGGACAGCGCCAGGTCACACCTAGCTGCAAAGCAAGGTGGTGGCTATTCCTTGCTAGAACTGTGTGGGGTGGGCAGTTCTATTACAAGAAGGAGGGAGAAGAACATGGATTCTGTGGAACAATGATCAGTCTCTGCCACAGTGGATTCTCTTACAGAACTAGCCAGAAGCAGTAAGCACAGTAGAATGGCTTTTGAGTGGAGTGGGCACCTCTCAATCCCGTCGTTGACTTAGTGTTTGTGTGATTTTGAACATGTTGCTATAACTCAGGGAACTTCAAGGAATGAGTTCAGTGGCAGAGGGTGTATCTAGTGTTTATGAGGCCTGGGTTCAACCTGAATACTGGAAAAAATATATAATGTCAGCTTCCCTAACTATTAAGTAGGAATACTAACACCATGTAACTCACAAACTGTGAAGAATAAGAAATTAAATATTCACAGTCCTGGTACATAGGGGGGAAAACATGTGTGTGTGTGTGTGTGTGTGTGTGTGTGTGTGTGAGAGAGAGAGAGAGAGAGAGAGAGAGAGAGAGAGAGAGAGACTTTCACCAGGATATGTAAGGAAGAAGATAGAAAAGATAAATGATCAAGATTGCATTGACCTTGAAAACTGAAATGAGAAATGAGATAACTTCACTTGTTAAAAATTCCATTTAGCCCGCGTCCTTAACTAAAGGGTACTCTCATTTCGGAGAAGAAAAAGACAAAATGCTTCTTTGCGTCAATAAGTCAGTGGAATTACCTTCTAAGCATCTATATAATAATGAATTGAGAACACCTAAGTGTTACAACTTTGCAGAAAGCTTAACCAGAAATATTCTGCAGTTCATATTTCTTCCTTCTCGGTGATGCCCCTTCTCTGCTGTTCAGAATCCTACTTTGAGGCCCACTTTTTGTGCTCCCTCCTCCTCCTTAAATCCTTCCCTCTTCTCTCACAGGCAGAACAAACTGTTTCTCTCCCTATTGTCCCCACACTGTGACTTCCACCCCTCTCAAGCCCTTCTGACTGCAGGTGGCTTATAAGTCTCGGCTCTCTAACTCTGCAGATTCTGCATCCAATGGATTCAAGCAACTGCAGATTTAAAATATTTGGACAAATTTTGAATCTACATTGAATGTGTACAGACTTTTTTCTTGTCAGTATTCCCTAAACAATTCAGTATACCACTATTTACACATCATTCACATGGTATTAGGCAGTATAAATCATCTAGAGATTATTTAAAGTATGTGGGAGGATGTACATAGATTATGCAAATACTATGCCATTTTACAGAAGAGACTTGAGCAGCCAAAGAGTTTGGTATGTAAGGGCGTTGTCCTGCAACTAACTCTACCCCAGATACTGAGGGACATCTGTATAAGCAACTTGAAGGCCAAGACCACATTTTATATACTATGCTTCATTGTTTCCCTCTCCCTCCATCCCCTAGCACAACACTTTAAACATATCTTGCAAAATAACCAACAGTTGCTAAACGAATCAATCCACCTTGGTCTCCAGTTCAATGCTCCAGTGCCTGAATGTTATGAATTTAAAAAAAAAAAAAAAGGACCCATTATCTAATAAAGAAACACATTGGGAAAAAGAACAAGTGGCTTAAAATCTTAATTGTTCTGGGGAGGTAAGTAACCTTTGGTTATAATTAAATCTTGAGTCTCTCAATGAGTTATTACAGCTCTAAGTTATGGAAGTCTGAAATAAGTCACTGACCTTGAACTTGATCCAGTGAAAGTAATAATACTTGCCCTGCCCATTGCATAGGGTTACTGTGATGAGAAACAAATGAACCACCACATGAGTGAAATCTCTTTGGGAAATTCTAAATCACTGTCGACGCTCATAGTTCTAGTAGCTTCCTATTTTATGGAACATAAAGGTTGAACACCCCATTTTAATCTTCTGGCCCCACAGTCATATAATCTTTCATAGCGCAGGCTAGTGTTTTTCTTGTTTAAGAGCAGTGACTTCTCTCATAGTTCAGAAGTCCCAACACTTAGAGGTCACTAAGTCGAGAAGTTTAATCCAATGAATCAAAGAATTGGGTGATCTGATTCAATCTCTCCTTTTACCCAAGAGAACTGAGACCTGCCTGCTATTTTCTTTTTATTTTTCAATCAGGGACAAATTTTTCTCTCTCACCTTCTGCCCTACAGTGTACAATAATCTGAGGTCTTGAAAGGAAATTCTGCAAAAACAAAGTTTAACTGAAATGATGGATGAAGGCCATCCTCGATGTTAAGATGCTAGGTTTCTGCAAGAGC